ATAAAAACTACAGTTTAGTATTGAATTAAGATAGTCATATTCAAAAATCCTTCTGCTAACATGATTCCTTTCTATACCATTATGCAAAAAAAAAAAAAAAATTTCTCATTTTTGAAATAAGTTTGTTTAATCATATAAAAGGTATGAGCTGATGAAAATGTTTTATATGGACTTCAACACGCTTACTTAGACGCAAGCAAAGAGAAAATAACAATATGTATATGAGATCTATTAGTTTTTTTTTTTTTTTTTCATTTTACATATCACAAGTCAATCTTTTATCTATCTACAACAACAACTGCTATGGTAGAGACAAAAGGTATTATGCTTATCTTTTTATTACCAAAGTTCTCTTTCACCACCTCCACTCTTTCTTCCCGTTTCCTTATTCCTTCGACTGAATATATATCCAGACCTTAAATCTATGTATCTAAACCTGAAAAATAAAAATAAATAAATAAAAACAATCTAAAGAAAGAAACCGATGTATCTGCACATGGAAGAAACTTGGAAAAAAGACATGGAAGAGTTATAAAGAACAAACATTTACTCCAAAAACCAATTAAATCAAGAGAAGCACAAAAAATAACTCTACCTATTCAGTAAGAACAACATAAGTCTTACTTTTAGATTCTAGAAGAATTAGCACAGCTAAAACTAGTCCTCAAGTGAAAACAACACTTGGAACCTAAGCATGTGTTTCAATTGATTATGAGAGAGATAGTACGGGTTCATCAAATAAAAGAAAAAAAAATAAAGAGATAAGATGGCAACAATAGAAATTATGACTATAGAATGGTAGAGTAAGAGAAAATGCAAAGATAACTAAGTTTCAAAAAAATTGAATCAAAAGCAGTGGAAAAAAATGATTACAAAAGTAATTTACCTAATGCAATCTTTGAAATGCTTCTTTAAAAATAATATTAGTTGTCTGTTTTGAGACATTCCCTTGAACATCCAAGCTTAGGATTTTCAATCCATGCTTACTTTTTACTCTTGAAAGTGCAACATACAACTGACCAGTGCTAGAAGTAAGGGATCGTGAAAAGCAAACTTTAGAATATTTAATGAAAAACCAAATTCAAAAATACAAAATTCTTACATGTTCATCCAAAAGAAGCATTTTAATATTATCAGCCAGTTTTAGCTGTCGAAAATTCTTTTGCTTCCAAAGCCTAATTACTTAACCTTTATCCTCCATTGCTCTTTAGAAAGATTAAGATCTTTAATAAAATCAAACATATTAGCCATTAGAATCTATATAGTCTTTCTTTGATACTAAAAAAAGGGACTGGTATAGCATTATATATGCATGTAGAAGAGACCCTTCAAATGACTAATATTTATTGGATAGATTATAAAAAAGAATTGAAGAAATAAAATCTACAGAATTGGAAATAAAAATCAAAATCAATAGATGAATGTAAATTTTCAATACATTGGAAATATAAAACAATAAATAGTGAAATGCATCAAATTAAAAATTGAAATGCAATAGACTATAAATAGGCCAATAGAAAAAATTCAATAATAAATATGAATATTTCAAATTTAATAAATAAGTAACCAAAAACCCATCATCTGATGATTAAAAATAATTTTTTCATGCACCACATATTTATTATTTTAATAAAACTAAACATCTTATTTATTTGACAGATTATCAAAAAATATTGGAAAAATAAAGTCTGCAGAATTGGAAATAGAAATCAAAATCAACAGATGAATGTAAATTTTTAATACATTGAAAATATAAAGCAATAAATAGTGGAATGTATCAAATTAAATATTGGAATGCAAAATACTATAAATAGGCTATATAAAAAAATTCAATAATAAATATAAATATTTCGAATTTAATAAATAAGTAACAAAAAACCCATCATCTGATGGTTAAAAATAATTTTTTCATGCACCACATATTTATTCTAATAAAATCAAACATCTTAATTATTGGACAAATTATAAAAAAGAAATGGAAAAATAAAGTCTGCAGAATTGGAAATAGAAATCAAAATCAATGGATGAATGTAAATTTTCAATACATTGAAAATATAAAACAATAAATAGTGCACTATATCAGATTAAAAATTGGAATGCAATAAACTATAAATAGGCTATATAGAAAAAAAATTCAATAATAAATATGAATATTTCGAATTTAATAAATAAGTAACCAAAAAACCATCATCTTATGGTTAAAAATAATTTTTTCATGCCCCACATATTTATTATTTTAATAAATAATTGGAGTATAGGATCAGCAAATAAAACATTCAACTTTATCAGGATCCTCATCTTTAGAGAATATGCTAATTTAATTTACCTTAGGTGTCCCTTGCTAGCTATGGATGCATCTGGCTTTCTATTCAAAAGCCTTGGACTCAAAGTATTTAAGCCAAGCGGCAGCATCCTGCAGCAATTCATCAAAACAATATAATTTCATATTTTTAGTTTTAAGTGAAAATAATAAATTAATAATCATAAAGTTTACCGTGCTCATGACACTGGTAAAAAGGGTTCTATCATATGTTATTAGAAATTAGGAGTTAAGCCGTCAATTGCTATAAGTTGTAAAACTGCTATGATCTTTATTGTCAATTAAATTTCACTCTAGCATGGCACCATAAAACTCTAGGTCTACGAATTCTCCATCTTTTGGTGCTATGAATCATCTCCACGAAGCATTCATCTAATATGTAGCTAGAGCACTAACTTGAATGCATCCAAGAAAAAGAGTATCTTATTAACCCACAGACT